GAAGCTACGGGGTTTTTGGAATTTTTTCTTGAAGCACTGTATAGATAATGAGTCCTTAAAATATAGAGGACAGTGAATATTTTGCTTTTAAAAAATGTTTATATTTAGGTAATGCAGAAAAAAAATGAGGGTCCCAATGAAAAAAGCATCAGGAATAATAGCGCTTTTCAGCTAAATACTCAGATTTGAGATTTTGTTTCCCATCACTTCAAAAAGCAGTTCTCTGGGGGTGTATTAATTCTGTGAGATATCTGCATTTCCAGAAGGCTGTGTTCACTCCCTGAGTACTTTGTCTGGTAATGATTGGAACCATGGTTGCCTTCAAGGGATGGGAGACCCAGAGCGAAACGCTCAAAAAGAACAATGCCCTGCACAGACTGCAGCAGAGAATGCCGAATGTGGCACTTGCTGGAGCTGACAAATCCACTTGTGCTGCCAGGATGTGGGATGCTGTCTGTTCCCTGAGGTGAGCAGCTGACAGGCAAGCAAAGAAGCCTTTAAAGACTGGCGTAGGATATTAACATCAGGCAGTCATGAAATTGCTAGCTGGCGGCTGCCTCAGTGTGGGGTGCATGAAACCGTAGCAGAAGGCCATTTTTGATGATGTGGCAGGAATTGATAAGCATGTGGCATGTGGACATTAATATGATTTAACTTCGGAAAAGTAACCAGTAACAAGTTTTATGAGATGGCTTAGCAACACTCTCCTCCTCTTCTCTCTATTACTAATTTAGATGCTTACTTGCTTAGCTCTTTTAATTCTTATAAAAAGCACACATGTGCATGAATACAAACACACACATCCCAAACTGAAAAAAAAAGAAACCTTGAAATAACAATTATTATCAAAGATGGGAAAAGATTTACCCCTCTGCAATGAAGTGAACATAATCATGATGTGTGTTGGCTACCGAGCCAGCATCACACTCTTGTCTGCTGCAAAATAGAATGAAAACAAATGATTTATAATGTGCTGGAGTTCACTGTTTGTTAAGATGACAGGAGTGTGTTATCAGTTGATTACTTTTTTGCTCAGTGCTGTACATGCAGTCAGTTCTTTGTGTGTGTGTGTGTGTATGTGTGTGTGTGTGTGTGCGTGTGTGACTAAAAGGAGAGCCTGATAAAAATTTTTTATTAGCCAAAGCAAAACATTTTAAGACTGCTAAGAAAAAAAAGAAGAGTACATAGGGTGATTTTATTTAAGCTTTGCTTTTACTGTGCCTCCTGACTTAGACTTCAATTGCTGAATGCCACACCTAGAATTCCAATGAAAGGAATTTGAGGAAGAATTCAAAGCAGGCTTATCTCATGTAGGTTGTCAGTTCATAGGGAGCTACTTCCTTATTTTATTTTGACAGCTTTGATTTCTTGATCTATAATGATACAAAGTCATCTTTATTATTTTTTTCAAACACCTTCTTTTAGAGGACATTTATATGTTGGATTGAAGGCCCCCAGGATCTTTGCTCCATCCCAATGTACCTGTTTCCTTTGGGGAACTACCCAACCACAGCTTATATAGCTTATATAGCTTATATAGCTTTTATAGAACGTTAAATACAACTGTAACTCACTTAACCCCTTTAAAAGTCCAAAGACCAAGAGTCTTTCTGTCACTCCCTGGTATAATCAGGGGTGGGAAAATGATTTAACTTTACTCCACTGGAAACTTTTTTTTGAGAATTGTGAATGCAAAGCAGGTAATACAAGGACACAAAAAGTATTTGACATGTACTTAGCTCAGTGGCCATGTACAAGCCAGACTCTTCTTGCCATGTGGTGGTTTATGTGCTTCTGATGCTTAATCTCCCAAAGCTGCCTAGATCCCATCCACTCCCACATCCAGTCTTCTGATCACACCAATTCTATGGACAATTCAATTGCCAGTTGCTGTTCTAATACATCCCCTCAAGTTAGCCAGTGATTTTGCAACCAAGCCACCTTTAATTACACATGTCTTATTTTTCTGTGCTAACTGCATACAGTATGAAGGAGAAGTCTGAAGATTAGAGGTCGAAAGATGGAGAAGCCTTTGCCCAGTTATGAGGAATTAATTCTATAACTTTGGCAAGTCATTTAACCTCTGTTGGTCTCAGAGCTATCATCTGTAATAGAAGGGATTGGACTAGAGTAAGTTCCATTCCAACTCTTTGATTCTAAGAGACTTTGGGCTGCTGGCAAAATTTGTATTCATTTTCATCCAGAGAAGGAATTCCAGTCTCAAGCAGATTGCAAAACAGAAAAATCAGAGATGGAATAATGCCTCAAACATTGTAAGAACTTGTGTAGGACATCTATTATAGTATTACTGTTTCTCTTAATCTGATAAGAACAGCAGGATTATCCTTTAGTTAACTATGAACTCCCAATCTGGGCACATGCTCTTCAGGAGAGGCTCAAATCTTTCTCTGTTCAAGAGATGACTGGCCTGTTAAATGAAAGCATCATATCCTTTGGCCATATTAATTGTTTTGGGAGCACATAGCACCCAAGCTAGGCTGCAGTTGCAGAATTTATCAAGGGATAATTCTTGAACTCTTTCTGAGAGTTTTATTAATCTGGTCAGATAGCACACTGGGCTGCTAAGTCATCTTGCAGGTGAACAGCCATATGGAAAGCTGAGACAGAAAAGAAGAGATACATTTTTTGAGGTACTGAATCCAGCTGTGTCTGAGTCCAGTCAAGAGACAGTAAGTACCTTCTATTCCTGCCACAACCCTATCCAAAGTAAGTTGACTTTCAGTCTTTTGCAATCAAAATGGTCCTGATTAATACAATGCTCAACATATCTTTTCTCCACATGACTTAACTGAAAGCTTAGAAGACAAATCTAAGACTTGGGCATCTTCTCTGAGTGGGGAGATATAGAGGTTGGGTTAAATAGATTGTTGAATTGTGGGGTATGCAGATGACAGGTTCAGCAAAGAATTTCCTATGGATTGTAGTTATTGATATGGACCAATGAATGAGTCACCACACTGCATACCTCCAACAAAAGGACAAAGAAATCTTCATAAGAAATTTGTTTTAGCATTCTTGAAGGTATAGGAAAGAAATAAAGGCTGTGAAGGCATATTTTGTTCCGATGGAATGGCTGTACTGCAATTTTGTATATCTAGATTTGTTTTCCTTAAGTTGCTTCCTAGCCATGAATAGAACATCCAACATGTTGCTCATCCTCTTCACTGCTTCCAACCCTGCGAAAAAAAAATTCCATTCATCTCTTTTCTCATTTTTCCTTCCTCTGTGGCATGACACTTTGCTCTTTCATCCACTATTTAATCCCAAACATCTCTCAAAATTATGCAGGCTACCAAATCTGTTTGTTTTTCTAAATAACTGAGTGTCTTTTATGTGGGATTCAGGTTTCTCCTATTAAAATGTGCAAACCCTTTCGTCCAAATTTTGGTGGACATATAAAAGCAGGGCTTCACTAGGTAGGTTTCTTTTGGAGAGCAAGTAAGTTATTATTTAACATATATCGGTATTTTTTAGTAACTGAATTTCAGATTATGGAGTACAAATAAGCATCTGATTGGTGGACACAAATGGGATTGAGGTTAAATTTCTTTTCCATAAACTTGTTTATAAAAACTAAGCCCACCAAGCCAAGAAAAATAATGATGATGATGATGATCATGATCATGATGGTGATGATAAGTTGTTGCAACAGACATGAATGCTAATTTTGTGATTTTATAGGATTGTTGAATGGATAATATTGATTGGGAGATGTGTATAATTCTAGGTAGATGAGCTGTAACTCCACTGTACTCTTTCCCAATGATTTGAATGCAACCAGGTTACTACTCCTGGTTAGAGATCTGTTACTCTTGGGAGCAAATTCTGAATATTTTCACCAGAGTGTAAATTCTCTTAAAGAGAGGATATCACGGAAAGTGAGAGATTGAAAAATGAAATACATTTTGCAGAATTTCATTCATAAAAGAAAGGGTAAGAGCATTACTTTTTAATGTGGGGAAGTAGGAGGCTGAAATTAGTGGAGAAGAGGGATAAAACCTAAATGGTGATGCAGAAATCAAAGATGTAAAATACATGTATGTTTTTAAAATTTTGCTTTATATTTTTATAAAAATTAGTGCATATTCTTTATTTTTTGACAAAAATCAATACATATTCATTATATATTATTTAGAATATGAAAGCAAATCTGAGGAAGAAACCCGTCAATTTGTAATTTTACTTTCCAAAGATAAAGTGTAATATAGTGTAAATATAATCTAATCCATAGCCAGTGTTTCAAACATTACCATGATCCTCAGTAAGAAATATATTTTACATTGTAATCTTATATGTACATATTTATATATGTACAATGGAAACAAAGTTTCGTGAAATAGTATTTACTTATCCTTACTATATGTGATGCACTCCCCATTCTCTCCCTGCCCTCCTCTCCCCTCCTCACCCTTTCCCTCCCTTCCCCTTCTTTTCTCTTCTCTTCTCCTTTTATTTTTTCTTCTTTTCTCTGTTATCTTTCATTTAGAGAAAAAAAATTGCTCATTTATTATGCCCCACAGTTTTAAATCATTGGGAAAATGCCAGGTTCCTCTGTGGCATGAGAGTAGGTCACTTTCTTGAAAATCCTGTATACAATTAGGTTTTATGCAGGTATTTCTAATTTCTCATAAAATAATACTTTAGAAATGGATTGCCCTTTACATCATGGATTATGTATCCATTGGGTTAGGCTGGATTATGCAGAAGTTATAAACAACCTCAAATCCCAGTGATTTAAAATAATAAAGACTTATTCTTGCTTATGCTACATACCCATCGTGGCTCACCAGTAGGACTCTGCTCCTCAGAGACCAAAGTTGATGAGAGGACCACCGGCTCTGTATCATCAATTTACACTAAATTATGTTGCTGTAACAATCAACCTCCAAATCTCAGGTTTAAATCAAAATTTATTTCTTGTTCATATTAATGTCTTATTTGGACCAACTATATTCTTTTCCATGTTCTCTTCATTCCAGGTCCCAAGATGAAGGAGCACCTTGAATATGGGACATGCCGATATCAAGGAAGGGAAAGAAAGAAGAGCTAAACAAAGCAATTAATCTTAGAGCTATTTTTCAGAAGGGGCACACATTACTTCCACTCATATTTCATTGACAAAGGCAATTATTCAGCCCAAGCTTGATGTCATTAGGGAAGACATAATTCTCTAATAGGAATGAACTTTTAAGGAGGGACTCTGTTAGGGGAGAACAACTATTTTTACAATAATACAGTTTACCATGGGCTTGTGTGTACCTAGTTGCTATGACAGAGAACAGAGAGCTTTCACAAGGGCAAATACTTATCCTGTAAGTGGCACTTTACTTCAACCCTCTCCTTATTGGCTAAAAGAAGTCTAATACCCCAATCTAAGTATAAGGAGGCCAGAAAGTACTCTATTCTGGCTTGGAAGTGTGGATGTGAAGCATTTGTCAGCCAGAACTAATTAAATAGATAGAATGTTGTTGATATTGGCAAGCTGCCCTACTGGTTGTCCATTTGGACATTGTAAGCTTCAGATGACAGAGCTGAAACTCAGATATACAGGCAAAGAGTTTATAAAACAGAGGTTAGAATGCAGTTTGTTGTGTTGAAATTGAACATCCTCTGTGTGACAGAACCAAGTCTCTGTTAGCACTACAAAATTTGAATCAGAGAACCATAGAATATTAAGTGCAAAAATAGAAATGAGTGGTCCCTTGTTCAAAATACAAAGCTTTTTCCTTTATGTCATGGTCTTTTCCCTGATCTGTCATAGTGTTTTTTCTATCTGCTATGATGTTACACTTTCTGTAGCACAAGGATGCTTACATGCCATGCATAGACTCTTACACACACTCTGTCCCATAATTTGCTGTTCACAGTATGGATATCTAATCTCAACCCTTCCCAAGACCCCAAGACCCCACAAGCACAAAGAATGTGTGGAAATGGATGTCTGAGCCTCTATTCCAGGAAGATGGGAGGAGCATAGGTAAGACTGTGTGAGTCAAACCTCCAAGCCCCCATGCATGCTCCATTGGTTGTCCCATTGGATTTCACTTACAAAACACAAATTCAGATTATTAAAATTTCAAAATGGAGACCACATCCTATGGGGCTGCATTGGTCAAATATACGTGAAGCTGGTCTTGGTTGGAAGAGTCAGAAAAAGCCAACTACATATAATATCCAACTCAACCCAGGAGCTGTCTTATACTTATACAATTGTATTAAATGTCTCATATTTCTAAAATTGAAGATTGAGTATATTATAAAAGCTAAGATGGAAATGTCAGCTTCTGGCACTGTTAAATATGAATATTAGTTCTGGCATGGGGCCCCATAGAAACCTTCAGCCCTGATGACAGGTGAGTTTAGCTGGAAGCCCAGTGAAAGTGAATATGTGGCCTTGGGCAAATCCAGCTCTGAGCATCAGTGTTTTCATCTGTAATGTGTGGGCTAAGGGATAACTGTCTTAATCTGCTCAGGCTGCCATGAAAAATACCCTTGAGGGCGTGGATTAAACAATAGAAATTGGTTTCTCACAGTTCTGGAGGCTGGAACTCTAAGATCAAGGTGCTGGCAAGGCAGGTTTCATTCTGAAGCCTCTTCTCTTGGCTTGCTGGTGGCCATCACCTCACTGTATCCTCAGATGGGAGAGAGAGAGAGAGAGAGAGAGAGAGAGAGAGAGAGAGAGCGCTCTCCATATCTCTTCTTATAAAACCATTAATCCCATCAGACAAGGGACCCACCTTAATGACGTCATCTAATCCAAATTACTTCCCCAAAGCCCCATTTCTAAATACCATCACACTGGGGATTGGAGATTGAACATAAGAAATTTGGGCATACACAAACATTGAGTTCATAGCCGTAACTATTGGTTATTCTTATCTTGGTAATTATTCCAGATATTACATTTAAAGGATCTGGAATTCAGACAGGCTAGCATGTTATGAATAAGAAATTGTGGCTAACTTCTGCAATACTCAGAATTGACACATAATGACCAATTGAGAGATGTAGCAAGTTTTCTTTGGTTTAATAAAGAAAACAGGTTGCTAGAGAGGATTTTTTTTCTGTATTATATTTTCACTTCTAAGCCACACCATTATTGCTCTTTTTATATTTTATGGTGATATAAACAATATAATATTGATAAATATGTCTACATTATAAAGTGTTTGAATCCAAAACCCAATTTAATAACTAGCATATCTCAAACACTACATGTGCTCACTCATATATAGAGGTTTAAAAAGTTGATTTCATAGAAGTAGAGAGGAGAATAGTGGTTCCTAGAGGCAGGGAAGTGTTGGGGGCAGGGGTGTAGCCAAAGGTGTGTTAATGGATACTAAAGTACAGCTAAATAGGAGAAATAAGTTACAGTGTTTTATAGTGCTATAGAGTGACTGGAATTAACAACAATTTATTGTATAGTTTCAAATAGCTAGCAGAGTGAATTGTGAATGTTCCAAACACAAAGAAATGATAAATATTTGAGATTATGGCTCACTAATCAACCTGATTTAATAATTACACATTATGTACATATATTGAAATATCACAGTGTCTGATAAATATGTACAATTATTATTATTATTTGTCAATTAAAAATCATAATAAAAGCAAGAAAAGAACTAGTATATCTCCATTGCAGTTATATTTAACTTGTTTATTAAGTTTATTAACTTGTATGCTTCTCTTCTATCTCTGCTTTTCCTCTACAAGTAAACACTACTTTGAAGTTTGTATATCATTGTTTTGCTTTTTTCTTTCAGTATTGTCACATATTTATGTACTCCAGAGCAATTTGTGTATTATTTATCTATTGCTGAATAACAAATTACCATAAAACTTACAACATGAAACAGCAAATCTTTATTGTCTCCATTTTTGTGGGTCAGATCTCAGAACAGGTTTATTAGTTTTCTAGGGCCACCATAATGAAGTACCACAAACTGAGTGGCTTAAAATAATAGAATTTTTTTCTCTCACAGTCTGGAGGCCAGGAGTCTGAAATCAAGGTGGCAATGGGGTCATGTTCCCTCTGAAACCTACAGGAGAACCCTCCCTTGACTCTTCCTAGTTTCTAGTGGTTTGCTGGCAATTTCTGGTGTTCCTTGCCTTGCAGCTGTGTCAGTCCCTTCTCTACCTTCATCATCACCTGGCATTCTCCCTGAGTGTCTCTGTCTTCACACGACCATCTATTTGTAAGGACACCAGCCATATTAGATTATGGGCCCACCCTGCTGCAAGTATGATCTTAACTAATTACATCCCCAATGACCCTATAAGGATACGTTCTAAGTTACTAAGGGTTAGGATTTCAACGTATCATTTTGTTTCTACCCATAACAGCAAGCAAGTGAGAAAAACAGAGAGAGCACCCAAAACAGAAGCCATAGTCTTTTTGTAACCTCATCTCATGAGTGCAATCTCATTGATCAGCTCTACAGCCTTCTCTCTCCAAGCGGGTCAGTAAGTATACCCCAAGCTCCAGGGGAGGGGCTTTACAGGAGAGAGAACACCAGGTGGGGAGATCACCAGGGGCCATCTCAGAGACTGCCTTCTCCATATTGTTCAGCTTTTATTGTTTCCAAGTTTTATAAAAATGGCATTATATAGCATGCATCTTTTAGAACTAGAGTTTTTGTTCATTTGATATTGTGTTCCTAAGATTCATCTATATTTTATACATAACTAGAATTCACTAATTTTCACTAGTGTGAAAATATATAGAAAAGCTTACACAGAAAATCTTTGTTCCTCACAACATTCTTAATATCAGTATAATTATTTATTAACTTTATCCTATTCCCTATAAAGCTGTATCAAAATTAGTGAAGTTTCAGATTTCTTTATAGCTCTATTTATTCCAAAAGTTTTTTCTATCAAGGATCTTTAGTTAAAATACTGTGCTCCCAAGTCTTATGGAATGATTCTTTTCCCTGCGTGCTTAGGACATCAATTTGATATGTGGTTAAGTTCATTTATTTTATTTGTATTTGTTTTTTGTTTGTAGGGTCTGTTTTTTCCCTTTCATATTCTTTTTGGGATATGTAAACATTTTTATGATTTTAAAATGAAAGTATACAGCAAGGTACATTAACAGAAATCTTATTTTTATCCTTATTCTTCTCATTTCCCCCTTCCCTTACAGGTAACCATTTTAGTTTTGTTTTTCCTACTAAGATATCCTTTTGTAAACAGAAGCATACACACTTGAGCACACACACACACACACACATTTGTGTCTCATTACATTCTTTCCAAAAAGGTAGCATATGTTATATTGTTATGCATCTGGCTTTTTGCTTTCTTTTACATAACAATACACCTTGAAGATCATATCATGTCAGGGCATAAAAACTGTCCTCACCACTTTTTATAGTGAAATAGAATGTTATTGTCTGGACATCCTGTAGTTTATTCAACTGCTTCTCTATTGATAGACATTTAGATTGTTTCCAATATTTTGCTATAACAAATACTGCCATCACCAATAATTGTGTGTAAAAGGTTTTTTGTCTTTTGTTAATATCAAGGGCAATTGGGATTATTGCTTAGAAATAGGATTGTTGGATCAAAGTGCACAATCAAATATTTCCAACTATGCAAGCTAAATATTAGCAAATTCCCCTCTACAGGGGCTGTATTATTTTATATTCTCATGAGAAATATTTGACCTTGCCTATTTGTTTTTTATGACCAACACAGATGTTGTTAAACTTGGATTTTGGATGGTGACAAATAGAAATTTAGACACAGTTCAATTTGTGTTTTCTTGTTATGAGTTGACTGTCTTTTTGGATGCTTACAAATCATTTTCGTTTTTTCTTCTTTGAATTTCCTATCCATATCTTTTCTTCATGTTTATATAAAGTTATTTATTTATTTATTCTTTATTTTTGTATGGGCCATTAATTAGTCTTTTATTTATGACACAAGTTGTAGATAGTTTTTCCTCAATTAATTATTTTGTTTTTGCTTTGTTTATTGTGTTTTTCCTTCAACGGCAAGACAAATAACTTGTAGATTTTTAAATTAATCTTTTTTTCTTTTGCATTTGTTTTAGGTCATAGTTAGGAAGATTTTCTATAATCTCAAGTTATAGAAGAAATTATCTATCTTTTTCATCAGAAATTTATATTTTCTGTTTTTAGAAAAACTTTCAGATCTCTAACCATTTGGGATTTATCTTATTATTTAGAGTAAAATATGAATTTAAATTTATCTTTTTTTTGTCTTTTTTGCCCCCAAATACTATCTAGTTGATTCATTTTCTTAATGTCCTTACATTTCTCTCCCTATTAGGTCAGAATATACACACACATATATGATTTGCATGTGTATATATATATATACATATATATATATGTTGTACAAAATATAAAATATGTTATTTTTATCTTAGTAGTTATGTTGACATTTCATTATATATTTTATAAATAATGAGTTATATTTAAGTAAAATCTACATGTAAAAAATTGCACAAATCATATGATTGTAGGAGTGTTCTAAATGCTCCAAATCAATGCCTCCCATTGGTATAGTTACTTTAAATTTTTCACTATTTTTGGGTATAAGAGTAGCTCTGTGATTTGAGCTTATATTTCTCTGATACTAAATAAGGTTAAACAACTTTTCTGGTACTTATATTCACTGGAAGCACTTTTGGGAAGTGGTAGTGTGTTCTTTTGGAAAGTCTCTGTCTTACTAAATTGTAGGCTTTTCTCTCTTTTAAAAAATACTTTGGATATTAGTCTACTATTGGTTACATTTATTGCAAATATGTGTTCTCATATACTCCATTGTTCATGTTTTTACTCAGTGATATCTTCTGATACCTTTTTTTTAATTTTTTCATATTATGGAAGTACAAATATTGTTAGGGTTACATATATTGCCCCTGCCATTCCTCCCCTCGCCTTACCAAAACATCAAGCATGTCCTACTCTCAGGTGGTGTGCATCGCACCTATTTTGTAAGTGTAAATTCTTCCCCTCCTCCCCCCTCCCATTTGCCCACCACCCGATAAAAGTTTGTTTTTTGATAAACTTTCCAGTTTAATAAAATTAAATTTGTCATTCTTGTTCTTTATGGCTAGTGTTTTTTGTGTTCTGTGCAAGAAATACTTGTATGCCCTGAAGTAGTGCAGATATTAAATCCTCAGATGAATAAAAACAGAGAGACTTCAGTATCAATTGGGAATTTTAAAGACAATAAGTTTAGGAAGAAGAAGAAAAAAAGCCCATAATGGCAGTCAGAAATGCAAGATTAATGATGAACAAATATTGTAGTTAATAGTTATGGAACCTTAACAAACATTGCCGTATAAAACACGAATAATTTCTAGTTTGTATCTTATAAAAGAAAACTAAAATAGTGAAAAACAATATCATATAAATATACAGGGAATTAATCAATTTTAAAATATTCTAAGATATTTATGTTTTATGGTGCAGGGACTAAAATAGTATTTAACTTTAGATTTGGTTAAATTAAATATTCATGTTTTTATTTTTTTTTTTAAAAAAAGCTAGGTAATAAAATGTAAGTCTCAACAATTTTGAAGTTCTAAAATAAGACAAAGTATGTGCTCTGACCAGTGTGGAAGATTTAGAAAACAAGAAATATACTTATAAATAACCCATTGGACAAAAAAGAAGGCACAGTGGAATATTATGAACCAAATAAAATGAAAATTGTGACATGAAAACATGAGAGATTTAGCTTAGAAAAAAACTTATAAATCTAAATGAAGATATAAGAGAAAAAGAAACACACAAAATAAATTGTATCCATCTCAAGAAGACAGGGAAAGAGCATAAAAATATCTACCTTATCCCTAAAAAGCAGAAGAAAGAAAATAATAAAATTAAAGCCACCAATGGATGAAATAAAAAGCAAGTATACAATAGAGAGTACAAAAATGAAAATATTTGATTTTTTGAAAAGATTAGAAAATTGCTAAATCTCATGCAAGACTTTAAAACAAGGTAGGCACCAATAATGTTATTTGTCAGTTGTTTAAAGAAAGAGAAATCACTCCAGATTCTATGGGCATTATAAAAAGATATGCAGATAACATTTTAATATGCATATTGTAAGACAACAGATCACATTGCCTATGCCATTTTCCATTGAAAACAGTTTTGGAATAAAATGTATTTAAGAAAATGCTTTGATGAGGGCAAAGTAAAAAAATAAGAAAGATTTTCTTGAAAATATTCTCTCTTTAATAAAGAAGAACAGCTTTGTTTATCTATCAATAAAGGAAAATGAGTTATTCTACATTGGTGAGTTTTCATAAATGTAAAATGGCTGCTTTAAGTGCCAAAATTAATATTTTCTTTCTATTTTTATTTGAAATATTTAAAAAATGTATTATTCTATTTCATGTCTTCTTTGCTTTCCAAAAAAAATTATTATTAAAAATTTCAACTCTACAGTAATGTTGAAAGTATTTTACAAGAATTCAATACCCAACTCATACCCACCACATAGATTATATTATCAATATTTTATGATATGAGCTTTAACATATATTGATCCATCTATTCCTCCATCAATTCAACCATTAAGGCTTATTTTTGGTTCA